GGGTATTATATTTAATACCCAAACAAGAAAAATAAGCCAAAGAATCACATTGAAATTTGGCCATTTTGCTACCCAATTTTAATGGTACGCTAAAAACACCACTTGGGCTCCTTAGCATTTCACAATGCTAAGAAGCCCAAGGTCTGCGGGCCATCCAACCTTGGCTTAGTGTAATATATAAACTTGATGAAAAATTATTGTGTATTGTCCATCAACAGATTTAGCAAGCAAATCATAGTACATGAGTAGAGAATGCATTTCAGCACTTGTCTAGTCAGAGGGTTGAAAAGATGCCACCCACCATCCAAAAAGAAAAAAGAAAAGAAATTAAATACTATGAGTAGCTGAAGTATATATACACATAATCAGAAAACTTCATTGTCTCAGAAATAGAAACCTACAAGATTTCTGCATTGGAAAATATCAAACTAGCAAGGATATACCACTCTTCTTTTATAGTTATTATTTCCCTGCCTTGTTCTTCAGGAAATGATAGTGGCAAACTGCCAAGACATCTTTGAAGATGTTTCACATCCATTTTGGGTTACAAACTTTTTTGTTGACATACTTAGATGAAAAGCAAATGAAAGTTACAGAAACTGTAATCAAGAAAATCCACACCGCATTGGCAACGTTAGATGCCATATGGTAGTGCCACCTCCTGGTACAATTATATAGTGTGCAAGTCTACACTTGAAAGCAAATGCCCATCAAGTTGCCGAGAATGATTTGGGAGCATTGTGCAAGTTATCCATGATTTGTTTCAAGTGGTCAGTTCAATCTGAATCATCAATTCAATTTAACTTTGCACAAAAGCCCATGGGACTCTAGAACTGATCCCAAAGCAACTGAAACCTACAATTCAAAGAATGATTAAATCCAATTCCCACCTAAAGCTTCACATAGCTCTTCTTTCCCTTTCCTGTGAATCCTATGTCTCTGAAGTTTAAAATCCATTTTGATAAATGGTATGGCCAAAAAAAAATCATATCTGCATCTTTGGGCTTATCTCAATAGATTTAGCTATTTTTCCAGCTGCTTTTAGCAGAAATAACATCCATAATAATTATTTCCTATGCTTTAGCAAAGCAAAGAATATCTTACTGGTGGACAGAAAAAAATTGAAGGTATTGGACTGCATAAAATTTATTTATTTACACTATTCACATAACCTTATCCACATTATCTACATAAGCACTGGTATTAACGTTCATAACTATACTCCTAAATTATCCCAATAGATACTTCTCTTTAGGTGGCTCTGGAAACTATGCTTCTGAACAGGAAGTTAAAAGTCTGTAATGAAATGTTGTCAACAAACTATTAATTCCAAGGTCCTTTGAAAGAAGCTACAGCTTTTCAATGGATAAATGTTGTAAATATGCATGGTGTATAGAAATTTCCATCAAAATATTTGAAGCGCAACTATTTCATCCCATTTTTTATATGGGCAAATTGTCTTTCACTAAATGTTCATCCTGCTGTCGAAAAAAAAGCACAACAGCATTCCAGAAGATCCCATTTCTCCCATCTATTTAGAGGGATATGATGCAATTTTTAAGTATCTTTCTAAAATACTTCAACTAGCTTTCTTAGCCAGGGACACTGTAATAATGACTGAAAATTGAAAGAATGTGTTTAAATCAATGTTTCAGTGGAGATACCAAATTCCTTTAGAGATTGAAAAAAGCCAACTCTACCTGCCATTGGAATTACAATCTAAAAAGTCTCAGGAGGGTGTTTCAAATGTTAATTTTCCACTGTCATCAGTGGAAAGTCATCAGTGACTTGCTTTGTACAACATGCTACCATTTTGAGTGGTACCAAATCGGATGCATCACTATACATGCAAAGATATTATTGATTCTTTGCATACATTGGTCCATGGCCATTAATATATTAATAGTCTAAACATCTATTTTCTAAATTTCAAATAACTATGAATAAATCTATGAGGGAGAAAAAAGGACCAAAAGGTATCTTAATATTGGTTTTTTCTCAAAAATAACCTTGTTGTACTCTTGAATGTCATGGTGGCTATTCCTGAATATGAAGAGGAACATCTGAACAAAACAGGGCAAGTAATACAGATTTGTCATTCCATATGTCGCAAAAAGAGCAAATACTGTACCGAAAAGCTAATCCAACTACTTACTGATTGACATATGTCTCCCATTTATTTATAAACATTTTCTTTTAATCAATCTGATATTTAAACAGCTCAAACCAAATTCCTTCACGGGTTAATTGCTTGGGTTATTTTTCTCTTGTGTTATCTACAGAATGACTTTTTTTTTAAAAAAAAAAAATCATCTGGCTATCCTGAGACATTGGTCTTGTCTGCCACTTTCCTTTCTTCCAATTTTCTTGAATGGTGGAAACTTAAAGATGTTTTTATGATGGCCTTTCTCTCCCACTTTCACATCCAACCCTGGGTTAGTAACAGAATATGCCAGCAGGAACCAACTGTGATGGTAGTTGACTACAATGTTATCAAAGTCTAGAAGAAACTTCCATTTTCTTTGATGGCAAGCAGTAGTTGGCTTTACCTTCCCATTTCTCCCTAGACCTGGGCTAAACAGAGCAGAAATGTTTGCTGCGGGCAAGAAAACCTGATAGAAGAAAATGCCCCTTGATAAGATTTAAGAATCTTAATAAGAATCTTAATTTAAGAATCTTCATTCCTGCTGCAGATGAGGGGAAAGAGAGAGGTGTACATAAAATTTGAACTTTTTCATATTTTTATCAGCCTGGGAGAACAATGCCTTAAAAGCATAAGAAATGGTTCTGATTGCCTCCAAAGGTGTGCATCTTACAGCGGGAATTTCAGCATGCTGTGTCATTAATTTAACAACAACACTGTTACTTTTTCCTTCCTTATGAGCCATAAATATTGCCTTCTTAAAGATGAATTCAATTCCAATACAGGAAAATGTAATTCTGAAGAGCAGGTAGGGTAGCACTAAGAAAAGGTAACCTATTTGCTTAGGCTTTCTACCTGTAATAGAACAGAAATAATTTAAAGAAATTTATAACGAGAAACCATGCCTATTTTTGATCTTTCTTCATTGAATTCAGGATTGGAAATTCAGTGTTAAGTTTGCTTAGCCCCATTCACAACATGGACATAATATTGAAGTAGGAAAAGCCGAGGTATAGTGTTATATTATGAAGATCACAAGAGAACAGAACTGAGATTACATAACAGAGAATTTGCTATGGTCAGTAGATTTGCTATGGAGGAACCAAACTAACTCTGTGCTCCAGATCTGATCTGTGACAAATCACACTGACAAGCATTGTGAACGAGCGAGATACTAACTAGTCAGCAAAATAAAACAATAAGGATCAGCTATTCATTGTAGGGGCACAATACAGGATGGAAATCCAAACGGAATCCAAAATACCACTTTCTATTTGGATACCACAAAATCTTTAAAGAACATTGTCATATATGAGGAGGTTTCTCAACTCTCTGAATGTCAATCATTATATAAAATGTCACCATCTATTTTCAGGGCAGAAGCAACAATAGATTCACGGGAGCCTCCAAGTTTCTGAAAGTGCAAAAGTATTTATAGCAAACCTTTGGGAAGGAACCCTCCAAATAGCTTAGTGAGAACAGATTATGTCCAGCGAACATGTATTCATGATTGGAGGGGAAATAGGGTGGCATAGTCACAATATTAAATAAGAAGTTCTTCATACTACAACATTACACTGTTGATCTATGCTTGCATTTATCTCTAAAGCTGACATGGAACTCAAAATATGCCAAATATCGCACTTCTAATTTCAGTAATCCAAAGTGCTTCCTTTGCAAAAAGAAAAGTAATTCTCTCTTAATATTTTTCTCTCTAAAATACTTGGTTAGAAAGAGAATTTCACAAAGCATTACTATCTTGTGAATCCTGAGAGGAGAATAAATCAAATCTTGAGCACTGGGAATGTTTAAGGAATGGTAGTTATGTAATTAAGAGAGATTAAGCAGCTAGAAACCACATTAAACAAAATCAGGTTGTAAACGTCTGGCTAATCTGATGAACATCCAAGCTAAATATGAACGAATATAAACATTCCGTGAAGCAAAAGGCACAAAGTACACTTGCAAATCATCCCACAATTGTAAGTCATACCAAAATGTCATGTAACAGGAATGCAGTGAGTAAGATTTGCAAAGAAAAAAAAAACCCAGTGGCAAATCCACTGCAATATAAAAGGGTAATAATAACAGGCATATTTAAAAGGCAGTGAGGTGTTGAACTTCAAAAACAGAAAAAGAGTCTCACAGGTCTGACATGCTAATCCTCTTGTTCCTCTGCGTCCCTAATATATGGGCTTTCTCATTCTACCTTTTGGAGTCAAGGAAGTCTAGATGTAGACATATCACTAGTCCAAAACACAAATCAGAAAGCAACTGAGTGGTGGAATGTTCCAAAGAGCAAAGCTTAAGAGAAAATATGCAGGTTTCACCCACAACTGCTTTCCATGGTGAAAGAAAACTTCAACGAGACCATTCAAATGAGTTATATCTTGTCCTAGAAAAACAAGAATGGAAAAAGAATACTAAAAGTAGCACCAGTGATTTGAGTCTGATGGGCCAAATAAATTTGAAAGCTCAATGGTTCTGAAGAAGCTGGCAAAAGGACTTCTACCAAGCTAAAACAAAGGGATTGGTGATTATTTTCCTTGAAATAACTACAGGTAGTCCTCGATTTGCAAGTTCATTTAATGACTCATTCAAAGTTACAATGGCACTGAAAAAATGACTTATGCCCATTTTTCACACTTATGACAGCTGCAGCATCCCTATGTTTGTGGGATCAAAATTCAGATGCTTGGCAACTGATTCATATTTATAATGGCTGCTGTATCCTGAAGTCATGTGATCCCCTTTTGCAACCTTCTGACAAGCAAAGTCAATGGGGAAGATTCACTTAACAACCATGTTACTAACTTAACGTGCCATGATTCACTTAACAAATGTGGCAAGAAAGGTCATAGCATGGGTCAAAAACTCACTTAACAAATGTCTTTCTTAGCAGTAGAAATTTTGGGCTCAGTTGTGGTCAGAGGTGGAGGATTGCCTGTAATGGATCCCAAATAATAGTTTTTTTAAGTAGAATTGCAAGGAATGCTATTATAAGACTGAAAGCATCTGAGCTTTGCATGTCACATTGAGAGCTGAACTCAAAAAGTACTGAGACCATGGTGGCATGAGGAGTTTTAAGTGATGCAATTAGCATCTTAAGCAATTGCAAGGCTTACAGCCCTGATTTTGACCCTTAATAGCTCATAGGCCCTTAAAAGACATCCAATATTTTCACCAAAACCTCGAGGAGCACAAAAAGGAGTCTGGAGAACAATGTGTACTTTTATCCTTCATATAAAATAATAATGTTTAGAAGGCACGTAGAACTTAAAAGGAAACATAGATTAAGCTAGTCCGAGAAATACACTGTAGTATTTGAAATAATAACAGCAATAGAAATCTATTTACAAACTTCTTTAAAATTTTGGGGATTTTCCTGCAATCAAATCACATTTTGCCATTACCAATCACTGGAGCTTTCAATGAAAGAAGAAAAGAGAAAAGCGTAGTAATGGTTAAGATAATCATGGAAGATAAAAAGAAGAAAAGAGACAATTGTTAGTTGATAGAAAGCAGCAGATACATGAAAATCAAATGATCCAGACAGTGTTTTACATTTACAATTAAGGTGCTTTGACTATTTTTTTATCTAGAAAAATAAGATGGGTATTTTAAATTCAGTCAGATTTAAAGTGAATCTTAAAATATAATTTGGAAATAGCAATTTTCGTAATATGCCACGAGCAGTTTGCTTGGTGATCGTGAAGAAAGTTGTAGTGGAATGTACAAATAATTGCAGTCCATTTTATCAAAAGAACATATAGTTAAACAGTATCAAGTATGGAAAACAGAAAAAGCCCAGAAAATCAATGGTCAACAACTGAAGGAAGTTCTGAAAACAGACAGTTAGAGAAAGGTTGCAAGGAATACTGAAATATCACAAGCTTCAAAACAGGAAAGGAACTAAATAGATGCCTTAGAAATTCTTTTTTTTTATTGTTTTCGATCCAGGCCTTAATGTACTCACACATACCAGCAGGATAAATTGTACTTTTTGCAAATCTTGACAGTCAGCTTCTTGGGAAAAAGACTATATATATATATATATATATATATATATATATATATTTATTATAAACCTGTGATGCCCTTGGAGATGAAAAAGAGGATTTTGTTGATAATAGAAAACAAGCCGAAGGGAAAGGGAAAAGAATCAATCAAATGAGGGCACATTTGAGTGGTAATTAACTGGAATAGCTTTCTTCATACTGTGTTTAATAATGTAAGCATCAAATAATCCAGAAAAAACAATGCCATCTCTTATCCCAAATTTCCTCCTATATGTTTTTAAATGTAAGAGGCTTAGGTTATCTATATTACATTTTTGTAGTTGCAGTTAAAACCATTACTTTGAAAATAGAAAGGACAAGAGTTATAGTGCTGATGGAAAGTCTGGTAAAAAAAAACCTGACAAATGTATTCCTGGAAAAATAAAGATTTAAGAAATAATGAAATGAATAGTAGATGTTTGTGACACATGTTCAAACAAAATACTTGGCAGTACAAAAAAAAAAATTTAAAGCCCTGATACTTGAAGCAAATAGTTGTCCTGTACAAACACCATTGCAAGACAAATGAAAAAAGGAGGGGAACAAAGAACATGGTGGTTTTCCCCCAACAGTTTCTGAAATACAGGAGCTAAGGATCAATTGGTAAAGCCTTGAAGTACCATCAAAATAGCTGCATTTCTGAAAATATCTAGCTGTATAATGTGTCTTTGGCTGGATTCATATAGTCACTTCTTAACTCACTTGTGCTGATTTTTGACCATCTGATAGTTTTATAACGAGACTTAATATGGCCTGAACTCTGTTATAAAATAAAACACTTTTTTAAAAAAATAGCTGCCAGAGTGTGGGAACTCAAGAGCCAAAGGCTTGCAAAATCTTCCCCTGTACCTAAGTTCCATTAGAATTTTGCTGTTGTCATCAGTGCAGGGATCTCTGTGACATGAACACAAAATTGGAAATCAGGGAAGACATATTTGGCAGAGTCAAGATCCTAGCCTCTAAATAACCTAACACTCATGTAGGGTTATTTTGCAGATGGAGATGCACTTGGAATATGGTTTTTTACACTCTTCCAAAGGCTCTTGAAGCACACAGGATAAGAGGCAACTGTGTCTTGAAAGTGCTCTTTTTCTATTGGGGGGAAAGTCAATAGTTCCAATTCTCTGATCATTTCTGCAGATCCTGGAGAAGTCAAAAGATCACAAGTAGCTTGAGGACTGCAGCCAGTTAAGTACCTGAGACAGTATAAAAGAGGGCCAACCCAAGCGTATTTCTTTGGGTACATTGTCTCCTGACCCACGGCCTCCTTTTCTTTACTCAAACAAGCCTTTTCACTGTAGCCTTGCAATAGTATTTGCAGTTATAGGAGACAATGGTTGTTAAAACATAACACTCTACAAAGATATTATCCTCACAACATCCCTGTGAGGTAGGTAAGCATTATGAACTCCATTTCATAAAGTGTAGGTGGGAGAGGAGGTGGAGGGGGGGAATTTAAAACCACCTCCCCACTCCTGCCTACTTCAGTGGGAACGTTCAGGAGGATCTCCCTACTTCCAGAATCACATTCAAACTCACCCATCCATAGGTTTGGCACAGCCTTATTTGTGTCTTAACATTACGGTACAAAACAGAGCATCATGCAAGGGGAGTAGCACAAAATAGATAACCACAGAATAGCAAGATTCTTTTTGTACCAGCAAACAGACCCAGCCATTGATCATGGGAGCTGCACGTGCTTGGCTTCTAGGAGCCAGTTTCAAAAAGAAGGAAAAAGAGTAGCTTCTCAACCCTGGAATGTTGGATGTTTAAGGCATAGCACTATAGGAATGGAATAATGATCAAACATGACAGAAATAGTCCCTACAGACAATAATAAATAGATATGGAAGCTGACAGTGGAACATCTCTCCTGTTCCTCCTCTTGAAGCTTTATGGAAATCCCTCGAACTGGGTGGACTCAAAAGCCCACCTGGTCACGGAAGTCTATATCTCCATATCCACAGGTCTGATGTTACCGGTTTTGTGTTCTTTTACCCACAGTTCTCTGTCTTTGGCTGGATCCACTTTCTGAAGCAACTGATCCACAGGTTCCACTGTCTGAAAAACACAAGAGCCACGTGCCATTGTTTTCCCGTATCTACAAATGGATGCCTGGTAGACAGTTAAGAGTATAATATACAGGAGCCCATTTATTTTTCTTCTTCCACATGCAGATCTGCTCTTTTATGTTTAACTTTATGGAATTAGGCATTATAAATGCCCACTTCCAATGTGGGTCTTGAATCCTACCTTATACTGTCAAGAATCTCATTTCAAGAGTGCCACGTGACTCATCCTGACTCAAAGTAAACAATACTTACTAGGAGAGCTGAGTTATCTGTTTTTATGCAGTCGCGTACATAAGCACACAAAGGATTCTATATAAGTTTTCAGATTTCTATAAAGCTCGCCAGTACAGCATGAGAAAGGATTCCAAGATAAGCAGACTCACACTTTGATTGAACATGTCTGTCTCGTGTCGCAACTGTGTATATTGGCAAAGGTGCTGCCGAATCATTTCCACCCTCTCGACTTCTAGCCTCTCGAGTTCCTGAAATGAAAGAATGAAATACACTCATTAATGGATAAGGAATAAAGCCCCACCACTGTGAATCAAATATAAAGCAAATGTTTATTCATTTTGGTCTGTTTGGGTACTTTGTAATTGCTCCCTAAAGCAAAGGTGGGCAATCCACATAGTGGGACAATTGTTATGGCCCTTGGGAGTCTCAAAAATCATGTCATCAGAATTTGATGGCAAGCCAGGCAAGATATGATTGTCAATAAAAAAGTAAAATAAAATCAGAAATAGAATATCAAATTCTTTGATAGGTTTAATCCCTCAAAATATCTTATTTTACCGAACTCTAACTTTTAGCAGTACAAGCAAAACAAATCAAAATTTCTCACTATGATACACTATTGTGACTCCCTTTGAAATTTTTTTTCCTTTCCTTTCCTTTCCTTTCCTTTCCTTTCCCCCACACTTCAAATATAATCCATTGTTCTGATCTGAGTGGACAAATAAATATTTTCTCAAAAATTGTAAAATTGAAGAAAGGAGTATATGTGCTAAATGAGTCAATAATGTGAAAAAAATAGAACTTGTTTTTTGTGTGTGTTTATGTTTGTGCTTTTAAGACAGCTTTTTGATTCCCTGTGACTGTCTAGACTAGTCTCTGCAGTTTTCTTGGCAAGGTTTTTTGAAAGTGGTTCATCACTGACAGATTCTTAGGGCTCAGAGAGTGACTGGTCCAAGGTCACCCAACTGGATTTGTGCCTCAGACGGGACTAGAACTCCCAGTCTCTAGCTTGGTGGCTTAGCCACTACACACCAAACTGGTTCTGATCTATTTTACCATGTATTTATTTAACATGGCATCCCACTGGCTATCAAGATGTCTCAGCATTTTATAATATAAAACAATTTTAAAATCAAGACATTAAAAACAGTTAAATGGCAATTAGAACAAGCTAAAATATTAGTCATTGCCTTACAACAAAAGAATATATTTTAAAAAGCTTTTTTAAAAAGTTAATAAACGTGCCAGGCCCCGCAACATTGCAGGCCATGCATTCCAAAGAGCTGAGTTAGCAACCAAAAAGGCTTAATCTTGGCTCACCACAAGACAAGGGCACAGCAACTATTGACAAACCTCCTCAAGTGACCTCTTAAAGCATGGAGGTTCATATAGGAAGAGGCATTGCTTCAAGTAGGGGATCTACATAGTGATATGACATAGAGCAATTTCTAGACAGAAGACTAGGAAGTGTAAATGGTAAAGATACAGACTGTTTATAAATATGTAATGTAAATTCATATGCTTCCAAAGGTAGTCCCATTATTTTTTTTTAAAAAAGATATTTTTAGTCTAAGGAAGGGAAAATATACAACCAAGTTTGAACAAAAATTCAAGTACAGGGATTTTAGTATTTAGAAACATGGTTATAAATAAAGTGGGCTAATATATGTAAATTACATTCAAGGTGAAAAAACAACACCTTATTTCTGAAATATGCACTGTAGGACGAGGCTAAAATTTAACTTACCAGAGAGGTGGTTACCATTTCTTCAAACCATTTTGACTGAGCTTGGTTATACAAATCCACACAACGCATGAGATCATCTCCTAAAAAACAAATTCCCAAATCATCATGTGAATGCATCTTGCAATTCATTCACCTACCCAAAGGGTGCTTTTCTATTAATGTTGATGCCATTATGATTTCATTTTCTGATCTTTCCTGGGATTGTATTGCAGCTATGCATAATTTTTGTGGAAGACGCTGCTGCTTTAAGGAAATGCTATGTGACAAGACAGGTATTACATAATTGCTTTCCTGTATATCCAAACATTTTTCCTGCCTTTCATATGAAGCCCTGCACTACACAGCCCTGGTAGCTAATTCTAATTAATTAAGAAAAAAAGCAAAAACTAATCTCTTCATCATTAGTAGAAGTGAGAAAGTCACTAAGAAACATATTGCAAATTCAGCTGGCTGGTTGGCATGTCTCATTAACTTCATATTAAGAACGTTTAAGAGAAGATGTAGAAACAAACTTCAGTTCTATTATTGCCTACCCCTTTCCCCCCTTTATGGAAATCTCCCTGACCAAAGAATAATGAAAAATAATATTTGACTACAAATGAAAAATTATTGTTTCTTTCCTTTGGAGATTCCAATTTATAAATTGCATTCTAAAGGTTTAGATACTAGTGATCAAATTATACTGATCATAGAATCCTTTGGTGAACAGCGGTGATACAGCTTCCCACATGGAAGTTAAATATAAAATCCTTCTGAGATTTGATTGCATACTACCTATTTGTGTGTAGTGGATTCGAATTTGAAATAAGGAAACAGCCAGTCAGTACTTTATAACACTGTTTCTTAGGCAGAAACAGAAATCTTCAAATTTCTTTTGAAATTTCTTCCCATTCTACCTTGCAGAATTGCACATACATAAATTGTAAGGATGTGTTCAGACTTGCAGAAAGATGTCCTGTTTAAAATTGGACCTCAGCTGGATAAAGCCTGTGTCAACTTCTGTTCACTTCAGGATTCAATGAAACATACAATTTGACCAGCAATAAATAAACTTTGCATGCAGCTGTAAACAGAGGAACACATCAGAAAACTAAATGGGAGGATAATTTAACCAAGAGTAGATGAATCTTCACACAGCTTTGCCTATTGGCAGTTTTGCTGACAGAAAGAAACACACTTTTCAGTGGCTTTTGTATGCTTGTTTCTTTCTAACCCAGTAATTCAATGTCTCAAATTCTGCACTGAGATAGAAGAGTAGGATCTATATTAATCGTATACAATAATATATATGTTTTATTGTAAAGCTGACTTAGGTGATAATTTGACTATCTGTCCTGCCATCTACTGTTCAATGCAAGCAATATTTTTTTGTTTTACAAAAGCAAATATAAGTAATTTAAAACTGAAAAAAATCTAAAGGTTAACTCCAATTCTGTTTGACACACAGTTCAGATAAATACATAAAAAAGAGAAATACTTTAAATTGATTTATCTCTATAGTGAACCAAAATGTCCACATGATTCAATTTAAGAAGTATTGGTACAGTGATGAGATAGGTGGCTTGCCTTCTGCAGCTGATGCTGCCCAAGTATGTTGGACACTCTCAAATCCATTTGACAGGAACAAGGAGTCCTTCCTGGCTGGAGGTATAAGAGATGGTCCAACCCAGCTAAAGATTGTGCTGGACTCATGTCCTCTAATACTGGCTACTTTTCCTTAATTTCCTTACGTGCATCTTAAAAGTGAAAGTATGGGATAGCTATAATGGTCTTTATTACAAAGGAACTAAATTCTGGAAACAGGATCAAGATGGCCAGAAGATCCAAACTGGTTTTTCATATATGGTTTATCAGACAAAATATAGATAAAAACTTAAAGAATGAAGTTTTGATCAATGCCAAAATTTAATGAATCATGCTCTTCTTCCTAGATAAATCAATAGAAGGCTTTTTATACTCCATTTCCCTTTGACATTCAAATTTCCTTGTTTCTGTGTCTTTGTACTTTGCACAGTGTCCTCATTCTACATACACTCACCAGCTTGAGTAGACTTCCGCCTGGCCTTTTTAATTTCCTCTTCTGTCTTGTTGCTCAGTTTTATCTCCAACTGCTGTGTTTTCATCTCTAAATCCTTTTGCCTCTCTGTTAATGCTTTTCGAGCCTTGAAACAAACCAAGAGTCATAAATTTCTTCACCGAAAGAAATATCTATCTCCCTTTTCCTTTCCATAAGATTTATTCTCTTACAGGCTAAATCACTGCAAAAACAGAGTACGTGCTAAGACTTTTGTAGCTAGAACATCAAGGAAATGAACTGGTACTCTATCTCCTGGATGAGACCTTGAGCACCAAACTATTGGGAACCAAAGTACCACCAGTGTCTGAAAAAAAGGTGGTATCTAGGTGACACTATTGAGGAGCCCCAGTGGCACTGTGGTTAAATGCAGTATTGCAGGCAAACTCTGCCCAGAGCCTGGAGTTCGATCCTGATAGAGCTCAAGGTTGATCTTTCTGAAGTCAGTAAAATGAGGACCCAGACTCTTGGGGGCAATATGCAAATAATGCTAACATTGCAACCCACCCAGAGAGTGCAGTGGTTTTTAAGTCTAAATGTTGCTGTTCTTTGGAACCCTATTTTATTTAGTCACTTTAAATCATTGCTGAATAGATTACATTGTATTTTCACAAGCTGGTTCTTTTCAAGGCCTCTTGCCAGCAGAAGCAAAGGATAAAATTATTGACCTATTCATTTCACTTATCAAGTTGTCCAAACTAGTAGCTAAAAATATTCAGTATTGTTTATAGGACACTAGGACAGCATCTTTCGTTATACCTTAGGACATAGAGCATAAAATATATACTAGACAACATGGCATAAATAATCTTGCCCTCCTGTCTCTATCCTGGCACTTACTTTTCTTCCCAGTGTGACTGTCACTCCACTAGTATAGCCAACCAGACCACTTGGAGTGATGGCTTATAATTTGAAAAACCATATTTTTCTTACAATCACATTACATACATACTATTTTTTTCAAATATCTTCCTGCCTGCCTCTTTCTATATTATCTAGCTATCTGTCTGCCTGCCTGCCTGCCTGC